ACACAATTCAGCAGTCAACTACTCCAGTATGTAGTACTCCATTTCTCAGCAGTCTTTGTTCCTCATAGTCAAGAACAGATGTAATTTTCAGAGTTTTCAGTAAATTTCCAAGGTGAATTAATCCATTTCAAAACGAGATACTCCTCCAAATAGAGCACTACTACCGCATAAAAGATTTGTACTGGTACAATAGTACGTATAGTTGATTGGTTTGATACAGCCAAAAAAAAATTCGGTTCTGAATGAAAATCATGTGATATGATCAGTTTGGTGTAAATACCCCCTGTTGGTCTCTCTTGTCCAAAAATGAGGAGGAGCTTTGCTTGGGAAGTCCAATGCAAGAGGAGAGTGCAGTTAATGCGCTCGTTGGCCGTTTGTGCTTGAAATAATAACACCCTTCCACCAACCCGGTGAGCTCGCAGCTTTCCACCGCTTCGCACTCAACCTCATGCAGATGCAGTTCACTCTCCATAGCTAGGAGTAGCTACTAGCCTACCACTCCACTAGCTGCTTGAGCTTGAGCTGAGCCCGCCATTGCCGCGCGCCATGCGCCCACCGAGCTGAGGCACACGAGGCGGCGAGAGGCAGGGCGGTGCAAGAACGCGATGCGCGCGCTCCGGCCGCCGCCGGCACCGGCTCCGGCTGTGTCGCCGTCGCCGGCGCCATCGCCGTATGCTGCGATGTTTGAAGGGGGTGGCATTAGCTCGCCGCCTGCTCCGAACCCGGGGGACGTCGCCGGTGCCAGGGCCGGCGCCAGCCCCGGTGCCGGGGAGTGTGGCGGAGCGGGAGTTCGCGGGCGGACGGCGGGGCGCGGCGTCGAGCAGCCTGAGCCCGCCGCTCATCGCGATGCTGGCGGTGGTCGGGGCGGCGCTGCTGGTGGTGCTGTACGCGAGGCTGGTGAGCCGGGTGTTCAGGGCGGCGAGGCGGCGGTGGCGGAGGAGGAGGAGGCGGCGGCTGCTCATGATCCCGGGCTCCCCCGCCGACGACTCGTTCGCGACGTTCACCACCTACGACAACTACTACCACACCTTCTCGCCGTACGGCCTCGACGACGCCGCCATCAAGTCGCTGCCGTCGGCGCAGTACCTCAAGTCGTCGGCGATGGCGGCGCGCGGCGGGGGCGGGGGAGGCGGAGCCGACACCGCCGCGCGCGACTGCGCCGTGTGCCTGCTCGAGTTCGCCGACGGCGACGAGCTCCGCGCGCTGCCGCTCTGCGCGCACGCGTTCCACGCGGACTGCATCGACGTCTGGCTCCGCGCGCACGCCTCGTGCCCGCTCTGCCGCGCCGCCGTCGCGCTCCCGCCCCCGGTCGCCTCCCCGCTCCGCGCCGCCCGCCGCGTGCGCCCCAGCCTCGACGACCTCCTCTTCTTCCACCCCGTCCCGCAACCACCCCACGCCGCCGCCGACCCCTCCGCCGCGCCGGCGGAGATCACCCCGGCAAGCCCGGACCACGTCGGCCCGAGAGACGATTTCCTCCTCAAGCGCTCCTACTCCTTCGGCTTCGAGCGCCACCTCCTCGCCGTGGAGGCCCCCTCCACCGCGTCCCCGCCGTGGCGCTACCGCCTCAACATCGGCGGCGGCGGCGGCGGCGCGGACGGCCCAAACCGCGGCGGCCGCAGCAGCTTCTGGAGCAAGCGCTGGCCATCCCCGTTCGGCGGCGGCGCCGCCGCCGCCTCCCGCGTCTTCTCCTTCCGCTCCTACCGCTCCGCCGCCGCGAAATCCTCCCCGTTCTCCCGCCGCCGCGGCGGCACCGGCCCCGGCGGCGCCACCGCCCCCGGAGGCGGGTTCTTCATGTCGCTCGCGTCAGAGCCACCCTCCATCCTCGCCGCGGCGAGGCGCGCCAGCGCCGCCGCTGCCGCGTCCAGCCGGCTCCGGTGCGGCGACCCCGAGGCCCTCCTCTCGCCGGACCGGCTCAGCCGGTAGGCCTCGCCGCCGGCTGCGCTCCGAGATCCGATCCGATCCGGGTGGGGTGGCGAGGTAGGTGGGCCTGGGTGGAGAGCGAGGCGCAGTAATGGCGAGATAAATGCTCGGCCTGCACAGCTCGCTGGCTCTTTAATGGCGGGGAGGACGCGCGCCCAGGCGCGAGGCGCGACGACCTCGTCTCGGATTCCGAGGCGGCGAGTCAACGGTCAACGCACGCATCTCAGCCGTCCGATCAGAAAACGACGGTCTCCGTCAGGCCACGTGGAGGAGCATTCGTTTTCTCATCGGACGGCTAGCTTCTCGTACTACTACTCCCAATGTACTACTACTACACTATTCTGTACTTCTGCTACTACAAGAAGAAGTTTTGTTTTGTCACGGTGACCGGTGCAATTCTGCGGCGGCGGCGGCGATCGCCGGCGAGAGCCGAGAGGTCGCCGCGGCGGCGCGATGGAGTCAATGGGTGGGGAGAAGGGAAGAGCAGAGCCATGCAAATTCATGCATGGATGGATGGGGAGGGTGGTGGGGTCGGGGGGGGGGTGCGAGCGGGATATGCGGGGATACGTTAATTGGGTGTCTCCGAAAGCGGCGACCCTGGGTCACCACCGACAGCGTGGACTGGGGCCCACTCCTCTGTCCAGCGCTGACCAGTGACCATTGGTGATATGCTATGCATATGCAATTTGTTTCTGCTCATCGAGAAAAAAAATAAAAAATGAAAGATGCAATTTGTTTTCTTTTGAATCGAAAATGCGCCTTTTCTAGGTCCGGGTAAAAATTCTACTACGACGTAGTTGTATACCAAATTATAAATTGAATCGTGAATTAGTATATCTTAGTTGGTTAAGTTTAAGCCTTCGACGCACCACCGATGCCCTACTACAGTTGGTGACGTACGCCATTGACACGCTAGCAGTCCTTAAACTTGTCATAAGATTTGCCATTGACGCGCTAGCAGTCCTTAAACTTATCATAAGATTTCACTTAGGTACACAAATTTGCAAAGTGCACATCGAGGTCTATAAACTTGGTTTATCGTCGTTTGACCGTGGTCTTGCCTACGTCGCACGCCATGTGGATAATGACATGGTGTTTTTTCCTTCCCCTTTTCTTTTTTCTCCTATTCTTTTATCTTCTTTCTTCACTAGAGCCACCTCAAGCTCCCCCATGTCGAAGAGGTTGCAGAAGAGAGAAATGAAAGAAGAAGGGAGAATAATAATAATAATAATAATAATAATAATAATAATAATAATAATAATAATAATAATAATAATAATAATAATAATAATAATAATATGATATGTCGTCGTGTACATGTCATGCTACGTAGACAAGACCACGGTCAAATGAGACTTTAGACCAGAATGATACAATAAACCAAGTTTAGAGACCTCGATACACATTTTGTAAGTTCGTGGACTTGGATGAAACCCCACGATAGTTTAAGGACCACCAGTGCAACTTACTCTTTAAAATATTACCAGCCTACATAGTGATTGATCCATCGATCCACCTGTATCTTTCATTGAATGAAACTTCATAATTCGAAGCGAAATGTTTTCACACGAAATTCATATGAATTTTAGACAAAAGGCTCACCTTGTCCACACGATTTTCTTTGGAACAAGGGCAAAATTAGCTATAGCTAGGGAACAAGGACAACGAGTCCACACTCCACAGGTGGGCACCGGCTGAGTAAATGCGATGCATGATCTTGTGTGGGAGGAAACTGGTGGAGCAGCATGCATGAACATTTTGTGCACAGGCGAAGGTGGTCCGTCCATCGCCATGATCGATCGGCAGTGATGAACGCCTTTTAGCGAGTGATGAGGGAGGGGGGAGGGGGCTCCATGTGCCCATGCTTTTAATTCTTCGAGTAATCAACACGTCCATCCACAGTCATCAGGCCGATCTATGCGGACATTTGATTACTTGCCGTCACTACTATGATATTTTGTTCAAGAGACATACAGTACAAATACATATGCTCATAATGCTCGCGCACCTATTTTTATGAGTGTACACCCTACCCGTTGAGTTGCGCTTTGGCTTCGATCGGGTCGGTGTCCTGACATGATGTATCTTGGTGAAGTCGGAGTTGCCCAATCATATAAGTGATGGTATGATGACGATAACGTCGCGTCTTTGCCCGTGCGAGGAGTTTTGCTTCCTTCTCGTGCTTTTGGCTATACCGTCCTTGTGTTAAGTAGAATTGTTGAGTGTTGTGCTTGGTTGGTCTTGCTTCGTTGCCGTAGTAGTTTAGGCTTCAGGCTTCTTGGAGGGTTTATTGTAGTCGTGGTTTTCACTTAGTTTTCTTTAATTAATTGTGTATTATAAGGTTTGGTCCCATTTTCTTTTTAAAACGAGACATCTTCTTCTTATATATAAAACATCGGCAATAACTTTACCATTCCGAAAAAAATGATAGTTGAAGGAGACAATTTACTTCACCTGATGGATACGAATCACATTGAGTCATAGTTGAGAGAATCGAAATGGACATTTTTCGTTATTTCTAGGAAAACATACACCGAAGGTCCTTGGACTTGTCATCGAGTTAAAAAACATCCTTAAACCGCTAAACCAGATATCCAGTGTCCCTTAATTAATTAAAACCGGTCACAGTATGTCCTTTAATGGTTTTGACCCCGGTTTTGTCCGACGTGGTGGCTGAGTTAGCGTGGGACCCACGTGGGCCCCACATGTCAGGATGCCACGTCATCTCTCTTTCCCCTCTTCTCTCCCTTCCTCCTCCTCCTCTCTCTCACTCTTCTCTTGCAGGCCTGCGTGGCATACTAACATGTGGGGTCCACATAGGTCCCATGCTAACTCAGCCACCACGTCGAACAAATCGGGGTCAAAACCACCAAAGGACCTATTATGACCGGTTTTGATTAGTTAAGAGACGCCAGATATCTGGTTTTGTGGTTTAAGAATGTTTTTTTTAACTCGATGACAAGTTCAGGGACCTTTGGTGTACTTTTTCCTTATTGTTAATCGAAGAAAGTTTACAGCCCACGTATCTGCTATATATGGGCCGGGCTTAGTACTGAGCCCAAATTAGTCGTCTAGTCGTCGGTGAATTCAACACCCCACGCTAGACGGCCGCCATGGCCTTCTCCTCCTCGCCTCCTCGGTGACTCCGCCCGCCGCCGCTGGCTGCCGGCGCAGCGCCACCCTACAAGTCACCGCCCCACCGCGAGAGGAGGGCGGGCATGGCCTTGCCCTGCTCCTATGGCTCCCACTGCGCCGCCCTGCCCTTCCCCGCCGTGGTCTCCAGGGCGGCCTCCTCGCCGCCACCGCGCTCCCGGGGGAGAAGGCCCAGCCTACCACCCGCCGGATGCTTCCACGCCGCGCCAAGGGACGCCGCTCTGGTGTCCGGCTCCGCTGCTGGTGGCGTGAGCAGGAGGAGGTTTGGTGCCCCGTGAATCTCCTAGTATACCTAGTTTCTTTCGAATGCCTAATTTATTGCTCCAAATGGGAAGGAAGAAACCGTGTCAGTGTCGTTGTTTCGATTGTATTAGTTGATGATGTATTTCTGGTTTATGATTTGATTTAACCGGTCTTGCTGGTCATTCGGTTGAATTCATCAGCACGAACAATCCACAAATGGCTTTGTTTTGCTCAAAGAGTTGTTCTGTACAAACTTTAGAACTCTCAAAGCTTCACTGTTTTTTGGGAAGCAGCAAACTGAATTTGAACCTGATGTGTAGTAGAATTGTGGCATTCTACTAGAAAATTGTGTTGCCTGCTTGCCACTGATTGTTCTGACTATGTGGTTGTATTCAACAGGTGTGAGTTATTTGACCTCCATCAGCACATCGTTCCATTTGCGGAATCTTGGGCTTGGCAGCAGTCCATTGTGACAAGGAGGAAAGGGTTGGTAGGCACGGATGAAGATCACTCCGACACCTTAATCGCGCTGCAGCATCCACCAGTTTATACGCTAGGCACTGACAGCACCGAGGACTACCTCCATTTCGATGTTAAAGATGCTCCTTTTGAGGTTCACCGTATTGACCGTGGTGGGGAGGTGACATATCATGGTCCTGGACAGGTATGTACCATAATGTCAGTGAAGCTCATATTGTTACATATCACGAATCGTGGTTCATTTCTTTTACTTGTGAATAAGCTGTATGGTTCTCCATTATCATCTAGACATCTAGTTATAGATAGTTAAAACTTCAAGTATAGGCCTAGCTGTGCAATCTGGTTACCAGAATGTGATGAAATCTTGATTTTCACTAAGGCAGAAGATTGTGGCTTGTTTTGCTACAATTTATGATGTATTCTACCTAGTTAAACTTCATGTATATCCCTAGCTGTGGTTAATCTGGTTATCAAAATATGTGATAAAATCCTGGTTTTCCCGGAAGATTGTGGCTTCGATTCCTATTGGATACTCAATCTTTGCATGAAATTCGTTTATAGCTAATATCTGTGCTTCTGACAGTCATTTTATTGTCTCCTTAGCTTGTAATGTACCCGATTATCAACTTGCGATATCATCAAATGGACCTTCATTGGTACTTTAGATCACTTGAAGAGGTGATCATTCGTGCCCTTCAGTCCGCATTTTCCATCAAGGCATCTAGGGTAGAAGGTCTAACCGGTGTCTGGGTTGGTATGGTACTATCCTTTTGGAAATTGTGATATTATTTTGAATTTTCTGTGAGATATAATGACGTGTTACTAATATATCCCCTCTATTTACTTTTTAGGAGATAAGAAAGTTGCAGCAATAGGAATTCATGTCTCACGATGGATAGCATATCATGGTCTAGCACTCAACGTAACCACTGACTTAACACCATTTCAACTCATTGTTCCCTGCGGCATAAAAGATCGTGGCGTTGGGAGCATCAAAGAGATATTGCAAATAGCATCTGATGGAAAAGAGATAGACGAAACAGCATTGATCGATAAAGCCTACAGAACCCTGCTTAAAGAGTTTGCTGAAGTTTTCCAGCTCTCTTTATATCACAACCCTAACTGGGATCTTCAGGAAAGCAAAAATTTTAGTTAACTGCAGAATATTTTATTGGATTCTTGAAATTCAACTTGCATTGAAGTCAGAAACCAGTACAGGTGGATAGAGAGGCAAACATAATTAGATCAAAGTGAAGTCTCCTTCACTCTAATATCACCAAAACTGCAGAACTAGTCATCCATGTGCGCAAGCTCAAACTTTTGCTTCACCTGCCAATCAGATAACGCTATCAGTTTTGAAGATGATGGTAATATGTAGGAGAGGTGAGAAGTTCAGCCAAGCCAATTAACCTTCTGTTAGGAGCCATGTGGGCTGCAATATGGGCTGGATCAGCTACTTTCCAAAGAAGTCCAAGCAAGCCCAAGAGGCAACCATATATAAGTAGCAGTAGCACTTCTAGGAGGGGACGAACAGATTGATTGGCCAAGGCGGCGAACGGCGGCGGCGGCGACCTGGAGGCTGGCTGGCCTCTTTGTCGATCTCTCCTCTATCTCCCTTCTTCTCTACTAGTCTAGAAGCTACTAGAACCTTCTAGCCCTTGTATCCTTCCATCTTCCACCTCAAAACCACTCCACTATTGTAACAGACTTGGTTGTTCCCTGTGTTGGATTTGGCACTGCTATTTCTGAAATTACATTGTTGGGTGGGTCTCTAACAATCTGGTATCAGAGCCAACAATCCCCACTGAGTTCACCAAGCAAGCTGCCATGGCAAGTGAACATAAGTTGGATATGATTTTGAGGCGAATGGAGGAGTTTGAACGAAGGCGGGTGGAGGCAGAGCAGACAAGGAGAGCTGATTTCCAATCTCTCAAGGCAGCGTTAGCATCATGGATTCCCCATGTACAGAATAACACTGAAGACTCACATTTTTTGGTTGGAAACAAGCAGTACAAGATGACGCCCACTATGTGTTCGACAGAATGCTTCAGCCCCAATGTCGAGCCCAATCTCGCTGTTGATGTGGTTGTTACGTGTGCCACCACTTCTATGACCTCTGTTGATCTGGTATCTGCTGAGGACGCAATCGGTGCAACCTACATCTACAATCCTGTACAGCCCATGGTAACGCCCGCCAAGTGTTTGACAAATTGCTCCAACCCCAATAACATCCCAGACCTCACCGTGGCAGCAGTGGTTACGTGCACCTCCACTTCTCTGGCCTCCATGGACCTGGAAGTTGGTAAGGACGTCGCCTGCACCACTGAAATTGATGGCCCTGACTGTCACAAGGAGACGCACACCAAATGTTCGATGTTAGGCCTTGATGTCAAGGGTGGCGCAGACCACGTCGGGGGCGTGTTCCTGACAATGTCAGGTGTGGCCAAGTCTGTTCCAATATCTATCGAGTCAATTGACATCTTCTCAGCAAGGTTGGTCAGCGACCTCAAGCAGGACATACCAACACCCACCGGGTGTTTGTTGAGAATCCCTCGATATGACAGCAAGACACAGTTCAATAAAAAGCTAAGGCTGGAGGGGATTGAATTGAAGCCATGGCCACCTCCAACCTACAGTGGAGTGATTAGCGGACTGGAGTTCCGACCAATGCCCTGGCCAGCATTCATCTATTGTTGGCTTGAAGAACATCTACTTGATCCTTGGCCACCACCAACTGAATGGGCTGAGTTGGAACTGTGGCCCCCACCACATGAGAATGACATCCTGCCCTTATTGATCAATGGCTTCACCCATATCCTGGTGGATCGAAAAGCAATTTCAAAATTCTGGAAAGCGATTTGGAGTGAGTTAGGTGAAGAATGGTCATTGTTTGTTCCTAAGCTATATGAGCTGCACTTGAGTGGTCTCCTTCAGCATTCAGTAAGCATGATATCACAACAGCTTATGTCAAGGAGGATATGGTCCACTAAGGCTAAAATGAAGATGTTGAATGGTTGGGATTCTAAACAGTACCTGAGCATTATGCGGCCTATTCCAGGATTGTTTGTTAAACTTATCCAAGATATATCTCCAAAGAGCCATCATCAAGCTTATATAGAAGCTCAAGTTGCTAAAAAATTCTTGGAAAACTTTGGTGAAGATAAGGTACACTTTTTGGCTCAATCAATTGCTGTACCTGACACTCACCTTGGACAAGGCTGTATTGGCTGTTGTTGGTTGTATGGCCCAAATGCAATTAGCACATTCCATTTACTAATAGCCATACTGCATATTGTGAGACCACTTTACATGGAAAATATTTTCACTAGGACTTCACATGTAGCAAAGAAATGGGCTAAAGACTTGAAAGGTGTTGTGTTTGATTGGAATACACTGGGTATAGTGGTTCAAGAGGTCAATTACATTGAATTGATCTGTGACCGGGATTCGTATGGTTGTAGTGTTCAGAAGTGCTATCCTCAGTCTATTCTATTCATGCACAATGGTTGGTCTTTTGGTGGATTGCTTGATTGGAACTCTAAACAATACAAGAACAGTATGCTAATTGTGAACCCATTGGAACTCATGCAAGTACTGTTAGTGCCATTAGTGTGGGATCCAGATGCTGAGATGGGTCAGATTGGTAGCTACGCTCTACAACCAGAAAATTGTCAATTAACTACCTGCATGAGAGCACATTGCATTAAGCCAAGTGATTATGAGATCATCACTGCCAAAGAAAACCATGCTGCTGATGCTCCTAGACTGCTTATTGTTGTAATGGAGGATGAAGGCAATACAGTTTGGACTTTAGAATTTTCAGTCAGTGGAGTGGTACAGAAGAAGCGTGATCTTTGGTTGTGTGCATTTGCTGTTAACAAGGACATGAAGGTTGTTATGTTCCTGCAGCAATATGGTTATGCAAACTTAGTAATTGTCAATTTATTGAGTGTTCCATGGGATCCAGGCGGCTCTCATTTGGCATTAGCTATTAAACAAGGAACTAGGCTTTCACTGTGGGCTATTACAAGCATTGGCTGGTTGTGTTTCCTATGGTCATATTGGCTACATTACAAGAGAAATAGTAACAGGGGAGATCAAGTGGGTGAAGCTTGCACAGCTTCGAGTCATCGGCTTGGGGACAAGCCGAATTTCAAGGGAAGGAGAATGTTAGGAGCCATGTGGGCTGCAATATGGGCTGGATCAGCTACTTTCCAAGAAGTCCAAGCAAGCCCAAGAGGCAACCATATATAAGTAGCAGCAGCACTTCCAGGAGGGGACGAACAGATTGATTGGCCAAGGCGGCGAACGGCGGCGGCGGCGACCTGGAGGCTGGCTGGCCTCTTTGTCGATCTCTCCTCTATCTCCCTTCTTCTCTACTAGTCTAGAAGCTACTAGAACCTTCTAGCCCTTGTATCCTTCCATCTTCCACCTCAAAACCACTCCACTATTGTAACAGACTTGGCTGTTCCCTGTGTTGGATTTGGCACTGCTATTTCTGAAATTACATTGTTGAGTGGGTCTCTAACACCTTCTTTGGGGTTCGAAGTGGATCCATCTGCCTTTGTGTCAACACCCGGCCATGGCTTGCAAGTACAATGTTTCCCCTTCTCGATACCGTCGTAAACGGATGCGACATGTTTACCACATCCATTCCAGGTGAACTTGCCACATTTGCTGCATTCCACCTTGAAGCACATCCTGTGCTCTTCTTCAGGTGCTCCTTTGGTGCGTGGTGGGCAGTGGCAAATGTTGGGATGTTCTTTTGGATAGGTTCCTCTGGTCTTCATGGATTTCAGCATTTTATAGCATCATATGCTGTTCTTCTTCTGAAGGAACAATGTACAAATACCCTATATATGCTGTTCAATGTAGTCTTTGACTCTTTGGTGATGGATACAATGTATGGATAATGTGTAAAATCTTGCAGTTAGTGAAACTGTAGATATTTCCTATGCTGATGCTTGGTATGTTGCCAATTTGCTTCATGTGTAAACAAGTCTGGGATGTTGTGTTCTTGTTGCCAAGCAAGATCAAACCACATTTTCTTGTGGTTGTATAGATGGTTCAACAACGAAGAGACCAAAGCTGTAAAAACTATCAACTTGAAATTTTTGTTTCTGTGCTAGTCCAACTTTAGCTATACAGCAAACGTTTTTTCAATTCGGCATATGAAATACTTTGCCATGTCTTAGAACTAGGCTAAGTAGCACACATTTCGACACATCAAAAAAATGTTAAATTCACATCAAATTCAGATTCCTCTTTGAATTACAAGTCAAATCGAGAGCTAAGCAAATCGCGGCATGGAGCCGTTGGTCGACGGCGAGCTCTGGTCGCTGACCCACACGTCCTGCACCGACACCGGCGACCCGACCTTCTTCACCGCGGCGTCGACGCCGTCGAAGCCGACGCCGACGTCGATCACCATGGGCGGGCGGCTGCCGGCTCCGGTCCGGGCTCCCGGCACGGACGCCGGCGCGGCGTCCCTGATCCGGGCGAGCTCGGCGGCGACCTCGCTCATGGCCGGCCTGACGTCCTTCTGGAACGCCAGGCACCGGAACGCGAGCTCGCTGACATGGCGGACGGAGCGCATCACCCACTCGTCGGCGCGGTCGACGAGCGCCGGGTCGACAATGTCGTCGACGCGCCCCTTCCCGATGCGGTCGAGAGCGAGCGACGCGAGGTTGACCTCCGCCGCGGGGCGGGCGAAGTCGACGACCTTCATGGCGGTGATGAGCTCGAGGAGGACGACGCCGAAGCTGTAGACGTCGCTCTTGTCGGAGAGGTGGAAGTTCTGGTGGTACTCCGGGTCGAGGTACCCCGGCGTGCCCTGCGGCGCCGTCGAGACGTGCGACAGCGACGCCTGGTCGAGGCGGCCGACGGCGCGGGAGAGGCCGAAGTCGGCGAGCCTGGGGCGGAGGTCGCCGTCGAGGAGGATGTTGCTGGACTTGACGTCGCGGTGGAGGATGGGCGGCCGCTTGGCGTGCAGGTAGGCGATCGCCGCCGCCGTCTCCGCCGCGACGCCGAGCCGCGCGCGCCATGGGAGCCCCCCACCGGCGAGGTGGTGGGCGAGCGTGCCGTTGGGGACGAACTCGTAGACGAGGATCTGCTCGCCGCGGTCTAGGCAGCAGCCGAGCAGGCGGACGAGGCCCGGGTGGCTCAGCGACGAGATGAGCTTCACCTCGTTGAGGAGCACCGCCACGGCGGCGTCGTCGTCGCCGTCGTCGTGCCGCCGCCGCATCCGCTTGATCGCCACCAGCGACGGCGAGCTCGCCGGCAGCTTGCCGACGTAGACCGTGCCGTAGGCGCCCGTGCCGAGGCGGTGCGTGTGGGAGAAGGAGTTGGTGGCGCGCGCCACCTCGTGGTACGAGTACACCGGCACGCCGCTCGACGACGCCGCCTCCGACAGCAGCCGCTTCGCCGCCAGCCTGTCGAAGCCGGACCGGCCGCCGCCGCCGCCGGATCGCCGGCAACGCGCGCAGCAGAGGAAGAGCACTCCGGCCGCCACCGTTCCCGCCAAGACACCTGAAATTAATTAATTAATTAATTAACCCAAGCAATCATGATAATTAGTTGGTCAAAGATTAAATAGTACTCTCCTAATTACACTTCCAGTCCACTGTAATTATGCTACTCCGCTCATAATACTCGTTGTTGTTTTAGATAAAGGTAAAGTTAAACTTTAAAATATTTGATTATAAATTATTTTAAAAATATTCGTCTTTTAAATATGTTAACTACATGTATAGAAAAGTATTTAAAAAGTACTTTACTAAAACCATATATTTCTTAACACTTTTATATATATTATAATAAAAAAATAATGGTCAAAATTTGTTTTTTTAGACCGTGCTCTTATCCAAAATAATAAGTATTATTAACCGGGGGAGTAATTAGTTATTTGGTCAAAGATTAATTAGTCCTACACTCCTAATTACACTTCCAGTCTACTTAGTTCACTGTAATTATGCTAATTAATTTGGATTACTGCGAGCTAAATTTGACCTTTTCCACGAGGTACATCTTATGAAATTCTCATGACAATTATGCGCTTAACCCAAGTGTAAGTCAATCTTCTCATGCGGCAAAAACAAATACGCAGAATTGTTGGATGCAAAAGGGGGCGTTTTTTTTTTTTGCTCCAAAGAATATTCTTGATTTTTTTCCTTAGAGTTTCCAGGTCAGGAGTCAGCATGCATGGCAGCCATTCCACGTAAGTTGTAGAAATAAAAATTTACGACAAACTTGACTTGATCGCAACAATTTGACTCTACGCAGCGTCGTACACGATACTGTATTGTGACAGATTAACGTTATACGGAGTAAACTCCAACATGTATTAAAAAGAACAGTAAAACTCAAGCATAAGGCAAGGAGTAACATTTTTTTTTACCTCCAACTATGATAAGGATTTTCTTCGTAGAGCTCTTCTTAGCTGCAAAAATGGAGAGAAAAAAAAATTGGTCAGACCTTCATATTTATTTCAGTTTGCAAAATATGGGCAGAATTGGCCATGCTGAACATCATAAATTGGATCAGGTTTTTGGTAGCAGTTGGTTGGTTTTCTGTTAAGAGCAAAATTGACTTGATTTATGACAAAATTGTCTCTCCACGTGAGGATAGCTCCCACCAAAATTGTCTATGCATTAAGATGAGAAAATTCAACAGATAAATTTTCCAAATACAGACCACTGAACCAAAAGAAGGTGGAATTCAATTTGAGTACTGATGCTTGAAAATTTGGTGTTTTTCTTCTAAAAATAACTAAATTCCGGTCAAAGAGTTTGATGAGGCTATTTATTGCCGTAGGCATTGATCGGTATCATCAGATGCATCATGTCAAAATGTGACAAACTAATATGCTGATTTATGCAGACAATTCTTGTTGTTCAAACCAAAGTCGCCATCTTTGAAAATCGCACGCTTACAGCTATACAAAATCGGCAGCTATTTCTCTCATAAGGCTATTTTGAAGCACAACAATTTTACTGAACTATTAACTCATTACTTAAAAATTGCAGCAAAATTCCTCTGTTCCTAATAAAAGGCTTTAGTTGGTCTGAAACTCATTTCTTCCCTTACCAAATCGATCGGCTTATAATTTTATAATTATAAAATGTGGGAGTATCTCAAAATACTGCTACAGTTTTGAGTAAAAAACTTTCAGATGTAACTATGATATAATTTAATGTAACTGCATTATAATCGTATTATAACTATATTGTAACTACAATATAATTTATATAAAACTTACATTAAACCACGGTTTAGTTAGTTAGCACTAGTATCTTAATTACACGTGACATGCGTGAAAACTTATTTTTAATATTTTTTCTCTTCCTGTACAAATCTCGAGAAGATCTGATTGCCACGAATCTAAAATTTCTTTTGACAAGAAAAACATACGAAAGTTTTCTAGCAAATCTGAAAAATGCAATCCACTTTTCCAATGAAATTCCAAACAGACCAAAGCAAAGCAGAGCCCCTAGATTGTCTCGCCCGTGATTGACCGCACCGATGACTTTCATGAATGGAGCTGACGTGGAGCGCCGGGAAGTGGGCCCCACCCACCTACGACGGCCGAAAGCTATAGAGAGGACTCACCGGGAAAGTGGCATCCTTCGCCGGCGGCGAACCCGTCGCCGTCCATCCCCTCCAGACACCTGCACTGGTGTCCCCACGCCCCGCTCGGGGTCCGCACGTCGTGGCACGTCGCGTTCGCCGCGCACAGCCCGACGAGGTCAGCGGCGGCGGCGCTGTGGTTGCTGCAGTTCCCGTTGACCCACCACCCCATCTCCGCCACGGCGATCTCCAGCGTGAACACCCCATCGTTCGTCGTCTCGCCGTACACGGATGTCAGCAGGTTGTCGCATCTAGGCTCCTCGACCTTGTCCCACTGCGCGAACAGGCCCACACCCTTCGCCATGTCCGCCTCCGTCGACATCGTCGGGATGCACGTCACCGGCGACGACGCGGTTCCGTTGCCGCCGCCGCCGCCGCCGCACTTCGCTGTGGTGAGCATCGAGGACATGGCTTCGGCGGGGACGCTGCAGCTGTTGTTCTTCGCGTTCTGACAGCCGCGGACGAACAGGCCGGTGCTCGACGACACGCCGTAGTTGGCGCCGGTGAGCCACAGCCTCGCGTCGGAGACGGTGCGGTTGCAGGAAGGCAGGAGGGAGACGACGAAGGTGGAGGCGGTCGAGTTGAACGACTTGCCGACGACGGCGTACGACAACGGCTCCATGGTCGTCGACGTGCCGTTGGTCGGGCGGAGCAGCGCCGCCGTGGAGTTGCCCTCGTCGCAGGCCAGCAGGATGGGGCAGTCGCCGGAGAAGCCGAAAGGGTAGGGGACATCCAACCCACCGCACTTCCTCCTGCACCGCTCATCTCCGCCGGTGGCGGCGGCGGCGGGGCTGGCGGAGAGAGCTCCATAGGGGAGAATCAAGAGGAATTGCACGCCGACGCAGAGGAGGAGGAGGAGGCGGCCGCCGGCGAGGTGCATCTTGAGTTTGGCTAGCTCGGCAGGCGAGCGAAACTAATATTTCAGCCACCGGGAAGGAATTGGCTGGAGCATATATGTTGAAATGTTTGAATGGACCTGGGGTTGCGGTGGCTAAAGCTTTGATTAGTCAAGCAAAACATGGTCAATCTAGAGAGTACGTAATTTTAAGAACGACCATATCCTTGTGAGTACTACACGAGGGAGGGGCAATATGGAAGGTAATTCCATGGGCCTAGCTTCTACACCTTCCGTTCAAGAAAAACCCCAAATTTAATCCTAGCTACGAAACTTAACACACATGTACTCACATTCATAGTTAGGATTGATTTTTTTTAATGGGATGGGTGGAATACCTCTTTATCTTGAGAAAAAAAACTAATGGTTAACTTAAAACCTCTTTGTCTTGAAAAAGAATAATATAACTGTTAACTTAGGATCATGAGAGTAAATATAAAATAGATCAAAATAAAAATTTAAGGACATGTAAGGATATGATTAAGGAGGTAAAGAGAAACTCTAGGAGGCGCACAAGGAACTTTGTCTTATTTTTTATTTTGTCTTCACTATTTTACTATAACAACTACTCTCTCATTTTTCACGCGCTTACTTCCAAAACTGCTAAACGATATTATTTTTAAAAGAATTATAAAGGAAAGTTGTTCTAAATATATATTTTCAAGTCTTTAAGCTAATACTTAATTAGAGCCTGTTTGGCACAGCCTGGAGCTCATCCAAACAGTTTCAGCTCCACTAAAAATAGGAGCAGAGTTGGATGGAGCTCTCTTACAAAATGAATTAGAGATGTGGAGCTGGGTTTAGGCAGCTACATAACTCCACTATAGATCTAACTCCTGAAGCTAAATTTAGAAGTTGGACCTCTACCAAACATGTTAATTACTCATTTTCGCCTTTTCGGTGTAGAGGGAATAACATCCCAACCTTGAGGTTTGAACTGATCTTTAGACATCTTTATACAGAGACTGGGTCATGGAGTGCCTAAGGCTTAGGGTCAAAAGCCCATGGGCCACAACACTTCTTTCCATTTTAGGCCGAGCTCTTCACAAATTGATGGAGGCTGGCTCGAGTCTTAACTTTAAGCTAGGTCGATTTTTAATGTTAACTCATTTTTTTTTGGCAAGTTACTTTTCTCGTTCATTAATAGACGCGTACAAAACATGCAGTTAAATTTTGAAACCAAACAAAAATTATAGTTCAATATATGAAAATAGAATTAGTAGTTACTTCCTCCGTTTCATATTATAAGATTTTCTAGTAGATATTTGTAAAAAAATATACACATTAATATTTTAAATACTTTTCTGAACACATGATTAAAAACAAAATGATCAAATATGTAGATGCTGTACTGTCGACATATTAAAGAACGAGTAATTGACCTATGATGTAGCAGCCTAGCAGGTTGAATTCAAATGCGAGAAGCCATGCTAGAAAAATTGGTGGTTTCTCCCAAAAAGAAATAATGGCAGGTCAAAGAGTTTGATGTGGCTATTTATTAATTTTTTTTGACGTGAGATGTGGCTATTTATCACCGTAGGCATCAGCATCATCAGATGCATCGTGTCAAAAGTATGACTAGTTGACAATCATATTTTTTTGCAAACAATTTCTGTTGATCAAATTAATCAAATCGCCATTTTTGAAAATCTCACACCTATAGCTCTAAAAATTTGTCAGGTATTTTCCTCACAGTTCTTTTTAAAGTATTTCTCTCACAAAAATTTTACGGCTCCTTGAACTTATTTTAAAATTTCTTTTCCAAATCGATCAACTAAATTTAACCTTAACGTTTTCTATAAAATGCACTCCACTGTCACTCTGTCAGCTAGCTTTAGGTGCGAAATTGTGAACTAGTACATGATTAGATTAGCTCGCGCGTGATTGACCGCAGCAACGACTTTCGCGAGTGCTGCTGACGTGGAACGCGGGGGAGTGGGGCCCACTCACCTACACCGCTTGAAAGCTTAGAGAGGAGATATATCAGGAGAGGACTCACCGGCAAAGTAGCATCCCTCGCCGGCGGCGAACCCGTCGCCGACCATCCCGTGCAGGCACTTGCACTGATGCCCCCACCCGCCGGTCGGTGTCTGCACGTTGAGGCACGTCGCGTTCGGCGCGCACCGCCAGGCGAGGTCGCCGCCGCCGCCGCCGTGGGTGCAGTTCCCGTTGACCCACCACCCCATCTCCGCCACCGAGAACTCCAGAGAGAACACCCCCTCCCGTGTGTCACCGTACACGGACGTCAGCAGGTTGTCGCAGCTAGGTTCCTCGAGCTTCTTCCACTCCGCGAACAGGCCTACTATCCCCGACCCCGACGACGACTCTGGCTTTGCTGGGTCCGGCGCCGGCGAGGTCGACGTGACGCAAGTCAGCGCCGACGCGGTTGTGTTGCCTTCGGCGCCGCAGCTCGCCGTGGGGACCATCCTGGACATGGTTTCGGCGGGGATGCTGCAGTTGGTGGCGTTCGAGGCGCTGCTGTTTCTATGGCAGTCGCCGCGGAGGAACAGGCCGGTGCGCGACGACACGCCGTAGTTGGCGCCAGAGAGCCACCGCCTCGCCTCGGAGACGGTGCGGCTGCAGGACGGCGGGAGGGCGACGACGAACGTCGACCTGCTGGCGTTGAAGTTGCTGGCGGTATACGAGTACGACGAGGTCGTCGTCGTGGCGTTGCCGCCGCCGCCGCCGCCAGGGAGGATCAACGCGGCCGTGGAGTTGCCGGCGTCGACGCAGGCCAGCAGGATGGGGCAGCTGCCGGAGAATCCCAGAGGGTAGGGGACAACCAACCCGCCGCACTGCCGCCTGCACCGCTCGCCGCCGCCGCCGGGGGCCGAGAGAGCCCCATCGGGAGGAATCAAGAACAGGTGCACGCAGAGGAGGAAGACGAAGCCGCCGGCGAGGCGCATCTCTAGCTACTAGACTATACTTGAGAGGTAGCTTAGCTAACTCGGCAAGCGAGCCTAATGTTTCAGCCACTGGGGACGAACGATTTTGGCTGGAGCTGTTGCTTCTTGAATGGGCTGAGTGGTGGTGGACTGGTGGGTGATCCGGTGATGGACTGATGGTGGCTAAGCTTGATTATTAGTCAGGCAAAATCATGGTCAAATTGGTCATGGAGTATCTTGAAAATGGCCATCCTTTGTTATGATTTTGTGCTCTCGTTTTACTTTTACTTTTTTCCTTTAGCTAGATTGTTTTTGTTGCTGTTTTGACTGCTGGTGATTTATGTTCATACGTAAATCCGTGGGTTTGATCTTACTCTCTCCTGTTGACCTTGGGGTCATGTCGGTATTAGTAATTCTCATTACTTCAACCTTCTAGACTTTTTTCTTGTTAGTTTTTCTTATATTTGATCAAACTTATAAAAAAAATTAGTAACACTTACAGCATTAGATTAGTCTCATTATATATTTTGATAATATGTTTAATTTATGTTAAAAATATTATTATATTTTTCTATAAACTAAATAAAAAAGTTTGATTAGAAGATAGTTAAAGCGACTTATAGTGTAAAATGAATAGAATACATTTTCCAAGTGTGTTTCTAAGTACTCCCTTCATTTCATATTATAAGTCGTTACTCTAAGTTTGATTAAACTTATAAAAAATATAGTAGTATTTTTAACACAAAACAAACATATTATCAAAATATATTTGATGTTAAATTTTATGAAACTAATTTCATATGTCCCCAGCGGCGGCGGCGGCGGCGGCTGGGGACGGCACGGATGGCAGCGGCGGTGGCGGCTGGGACGGCGCGGACGGCGGCGGCGGTCGCAGCTGGGGACGGCGCGGACGATGGCGGCGGTCGTGCCTGGCTCCAGCGCGGACGGCGGCAGCGATCATTGCTGGCTCCAGCGCGGACGGCGATGGTGGTCGTGGCTGGTTCCAGCGCGGACGACGGCGGCTGTCACGGCTGGTGATGCGCGCGGACGGCGGCGGTGGTCGCGGCTGGCTCCAGCACCTCTCTCCTGCGTGCCGTCGCTGTTCACGAGTGCCCCTGCCGCAGCCTTCTTGCTCTAGCCAGGGGGAGAGGGAGAGATGGGGTGGGAGGGGGAGTGGTGGGGCCCACGAATAGCTAGGCAGAGAGAGTCTCCAAGTTTGGCCAGTGAGGGATGAGATTTGGCCATCCGGATGTCTTGGCTAGTCGGATGGAGAGACTGTTGGAGGGTATTTTTCTCCCATACTTACTAAATTTTAGCTTGGCCAGCCATTTAGCCATTCTAGTTGCTCTTTAGATACGGCTAAATAGAGACGGCACCAGGCCTAGGATCAAAAGCACATGGGCCGCGACACTTTTTCTTAATCATAGTGGACCAAGCTCTTGACAAATAAATGTAGCGTAGCCCAAATCTTGATTTTAGTCTATGTCTATATCTACCATTAACTAACTTATCTATCTACTATATATTATTTTATTTTTTTAGATAATATCTATTTTTTATAGTTCACCGACTACAGTCCTACAAACCTTATTCATCAAATCCGATGATCTAAATTCATGGAGTCCAATGGCCGGCTCTGATCGCCCACGTCTCCCCCTTAGACTCCCCTCCCCGCACCCATCCTCTCACGCAGACGACACCGCCTCCACCCTCCTCTATCTTGCACTCACCCGCCGCCGCTGCCTTTGCCCTCTTCTCTCTCGCACTCACCCGACATCATCGACGCCCTACCCAGCGTAGATCGCCATCGCGCGCCCCTCCGTCGTCATCGCATCCCTCCCACGCCATCCCTCTACGGTGAACTTCTTCCGTTCATTAATACTCCCTAGACTTGTATATGACATGTAGTTAAATTTGAAAATAAATAAAATGGTTTAATATACGAAAATAGCATTGGTAGCTAGAGACTTGTAAAAAAACCATTAATATTTTAATGCCTTTTCTGAATAGGTGATTAAAAGCGAAATGACCAAATGTGTTGGATGTTATACTATTGATGTACTACCTCCGTCCCAAATTAGTGGTTGCTTTCACTTTTTTTAACGTTTAAATATTCATATTATTTAAAAAATTAGTGTAAATATAAAAAAAGATAAGTCATACTTAAAGTATTTTGTTATAATAAAAACAAGTTACAAACAAAATAAATAATATTTTCATAATTTTTTTAATAAAACGAATGATCAAACATTATAAATAAAAACTCAAAGCTACAAAAGCGAGACGGAGGTATTAAACAACGAGTAATCAACGGAGTAGTAGCAGGTTGAATTCAACTTTAAGAAGCGATGCTAAATTATCACAGTAGGCATCAGCATCATCAGATGCGTCTTGTCAACCAGCCTCATCGTTTGGCTTAAACGGCCAAAGAATAAGCCGTTAATGTTGGCTTTTAAGTCGCTACGAATAAATCTACAAAAGTTTTACTTATAAATTAATTTTAATTTTCTAATAAGCCAAATAAGCCATTTTGGGTAAAACGGGCAACCGATGGGAGCCAAAGTATGACAAGCTGACAGGCTGATTTTTGCAAACAATTTCTGTTGTTCAAATTAATCAAATCGCCATTTTTGAAAACCTCACACTTACAGCTCTAAAAACTTGTAGTATTAATTTCACTCACCGTTTCTTTTTAAAAGTATTTCTCTAATAAAGATTTTAGGGCCTTTTGGACTTATTTAGGTTGTGTTCTTTTCCCCTCTTTTCCAACTCATTTCCCTCGTTTTTCACGCGCACGTTTTTCAAACTGCTAAACGGTGCATTTGTTATAAAAATTTTCTATATGAAAGTTGATTTAAAAAATCATATTAATCTTTAAGTTTTTTTAACTAATACTTAATTAATCCCACCATAATCGTGCGCTTCGTTTTTCGTGTCAGGAGACCTTGCCTCCGAACACAGGCTAAAGTTCTTTCCAAATCGATCAACTATATTTAACATTAACGTTTTATAAAATTCACTCCACTGTCAGCTAGCTCTAGGTGCGAAATTGTGAACTATTGATTAGATTAGCTCGCGCGTGATTGACCGCAGCAACGACTTTCGCGAGTGCTGCTGACGTGGCAGGCGAGGCCGTGGGCCCTATTCACCTACAACGCCCGAAAGCTTAGAGAGTGGAGGACTCACCGGAAAGGTTGCATCCGTCGCCGGCGGCGAACCCGTCGCCGGTAAACCCCGGCAGGCACTTGCACTGGTGGCCCCACTCGCCTCCCGGGGTCTGCACGTCGTGGCACGTCGCGTTCGCCGCGCATCGCCCGGAGAGGTCGCCGGCGGCGGCGGCGCTGTGTTTGCAGCTCCCGTTGACCCACCATCCCAGCTCCGCCACGGCGAGCTCCAGCGCGAACACCCCCTCCGGCGTCTCCCCGTAGAAGGCGGACGTCAGCAGGTTGTCGCACCGGGGCTCCTCGACCGTGTCCCACCGGGCGAACATGCCGACGCCGAGCGCCTCGGCCGTGGAGTTGGGCGGGATCGAGGCGATGCACGTCAGGGACGACGCCGACGCGGCCTCGTCCCCGCCGGCGCACTGCGCCGTGCGGAGCATCTTGGACATGACCTCGGCGGGGACGCTGCAGGCGGTGGCGCCCGTCGCGTTGCGGCAGCCGCCGCGGAGGAACATGCCGGTGCGCGACGACACGCCGTAGTTGGCGCCGGAGAGCCGCCGCCTCGCCCCGGCGACGGTGCGGTTGCATGCCGGCGGGAGGGAGACGACGAAGGTGGAGGCGGTCCGGTTGAACGAGGAGGCCACGACGGTGTACGACTCCGCCGCCGTATCCGCAGCGGCGTTGTCTGGGAGGATCAGCGCCGCCGTCGAGCCGCTCTCGTTGCAGGCCAGCTTGATGGGGCAGCTGCCGGAGAAGCCGAATGGGTAGGGGACGGCATCCAACCCGCCGCACTGCCGCCTGCACCGCTCGCCGCCGGCGGCAGCAGGGCTGGCGGAGAGAGCTCCATCATCGGGAATAGTCAAGAGGAGGAGGAGGAGGAGGAGGCCGCCGGCGAGGCGCATCTCTAGCTGCTAGCCTAATCGACAAGACTTGAGGTAGCTTAGCTA